GGTGGTGAATTAAACGGCTGTGCCCCTGGAACTAAATTAATTTGATGTTGTGTTTTTTTTGTTCTTCCTGGTTGTTCGTTAAACACATCCGGAAATTGCTGAATAAGTTGTTTTATTTGTTCTTTTTGTTGTTCGTCTAAATCAGTGTTGATTAAACTTACATCACTGTCTGTTTTTGACGTCGTTTGTTTTGTTGCTGATGATATTGTTCCATGTTGCATCATATTTAATTGAATTTGATTAAGACGAGTCATTGTCGCCAGCGGTTGATTTTTATAGATCATAATCGTTCTTTCCGTTAGATTAGCCACCTGCAGTGTCATGTGTTCACATGGTGTAATAATGCCGTTGGCTACACGTGGAGTTTCTTTCATTGATGATACTTCATATTCATCTCTGTCATCTTCTTCTATAATTGAGAATGGTTTATTTGGTTTAACTTCAATGTTAAATGCATGAAATGGTGAAATCTTGACACGCTCATTGGCAATCAACACATATTCATCATCGTTCTTAATTGTTTCTTTTCTTTCCTGTTGCAGATGTGTATTTTTTTTCTTCGCTTTGAAGTATGCATATTGTTGTCCACCATCTATTTGAAGATTGTGTTCACGTATTAAATCATTACCAATAATACACGAACGCCATAATTTTGGGACCACGTAGACTTTATGTACACGAGTTGAGTTGGAGATGGTTATTGGGAGTGATAATGCATATTTAACATCGAGTTGTGATCTATCCGCCAATTGAAGACATAAATTGGATGGAGGGGGATATGCTCTTTGACGATAATACCGTGGCAATCGTCGAAAGAATTGAAGATTAATTAATGTGAGCGATGCTCCAGAATCGATAAGTAGTTGTGTTCGTCTTCCTGCAATCATACCTTGTAATATTAATGGAGTATTATTATAAATGTTCATAGTATGAATTTCGGCGGATAGTTGAACGGGATATTTTACATTGGAGCGCCATGGGCCCGTCCACCCTGTGCTCCATTGTCGTTTTTTGAGTAATGCCACGAATTCTGGTGTTGATAGGTGTTGTATTGATATGGACAGTTTCTTCTAAAATGCCCTTTTCGTCCGCACATGTAACATTTTGCTTCGTTTGATGGGTATCCGCTCTGTTGGTTAATCGTTGCATGTGTTGATTGATGTGATTGTCGAGTTGTCACATAATCATTCGTATTCTTGTTCGATGTTAAATTTCTTCTATTGTTGAATTTTGTTTGTCGGTTCATTTGATGTGTCGACATTGTTTGCACCTCGTGATGATTTTCGTTATTGTACATTGACGTTGTTGATGCATCATTGTGTAATACGTCATCGTAATCAGTTCTTTGGCGTTGTT